CCATTAGATCCCAATCTATACCTCCCTGCCCTGCCGCGCCAGCACGTCACGGAAGGTCTGCGAACAGCGCTGCAGAAAGCCAGCCGCTTGGCCCGGGAGGTTGTTGGTCCTGCATGGAGGATTTTTTAGGGTCAAAACTCATGGTAAAGCCTTGGTAATTTGCAGGAAACCTGTCTATTATCCCTATGGAAGTGTAGAAACCATGGTGACCATGGTGAAAAGGAGCAAACTGGTTTCCTGGCACTTCAATATAATTTTGAAAGGGACTGCTTCATACAGTTATCCCAGAAAATCCCAATGCATTCGTCCAGACGAGGCCCCGGGTCGTCACTTTCCCGGTTGATTCGCCTCCCTCACAGGCCCACATGAATCTCATTTCCAGTTCTTTGGGAAAGTCATTCGAACTTCAGGGACACGTCCAGAAACTTCACCAATTAACACCAAGTTGAATTTTTTAAGCTGACTAATCAGAGCAGTCATATTGGATATCTAATATGCATTACAGTAATATGCATGATTATCCTTTGGATATCTATGGCTTTCCCAAGACCTTGTTCCCTGTAAAACCCGTAACCCGGCACAGTTCCCTGGGGCCCCCGGCTGAGTGGTCAGGGAATTGTCTCGCCAGCCTTTGCGCGTCAAATTCAAGAAGTCCTGGCCGAATTCGTCGAAAGGTGACCCATGGTGACTCATCAGGTGACCCATAAATCCCATGATATTCACATTATTGTTCACCCTAAAATAGTTGCGATTTTTTTGGGATATTTTTATGGATGCCCATCCAGCAAAAAAACTATAGTCATAGGTAATCATAGGTATTGACCCACAGATATCCCCATGATCTTCACATTATTGTTGGGTTATATCATGGTGTATCATCCCAATACCTTCTGGTAATCCTGGTAATCAAACTTGGCTTGCTGGAAAATCCATCATTTCCTTCGATGGTTTTCGCAGCTACACATCTCTGTTTATTTGGGGATTTCCCAGCCAGCCACGTTTGATTACCGGAGAGTAATGGAAAAGCACAGCCAGAAATCAAATCACTTCAAGTACAATGTTATCTGGGTCATACCCACAATTTCATTGGATGATCTGGATGATCACCATAAGAAAGTTCCAACTGTACCCTACCCTGAAAGTCAACTGACCCATTTTACCAACCATAGTGAGAATCCACAATTTATCCAGAGGTAAAATGAGTCATAGGGGGTCTTCTGAGGTATAGAAGAGGATCCCATGGGATACACACAACCAAGTTGACATGATATGTGGAGATGGTTGGATATGGCACCAAGCATCAAATGAAAGCATCATACATCCCATGGTCATCATCATTTTTCGTGGAGTATCGCCAATTTGCAGACACACCAACAAGATGATTGTAATCATACTCCAAATAACCCCCTGAGATGTTGGATCTTGGTGGACCCTTCGAGAAGGGCCTTGTAGTGGCTGTCCATCTTGGACTCAGTAGTGCTTATGTCAGGCGAGTTCCATTTATGTCAGGATAGAAGACCATATGAAACATCCCATCCAATATGAAACATCCCATTTTCATGGTCTTAAATATGTGGTTTTATTCTGAGGGCCCTGTTTAAGATTAGGGAGAAGGGCCTTTCATTCACGACCAGCACCTTAGCATAGATTGTTTGCCATACAATGCTTTATACAGAGACATATGACGAAATATGCTTATTAATATACATAGCTATATCTATATATATATGTATCCAGCGTTATATATATATAATTATATATATACTGTATGTATCTCTTGTCGGGCTATGTTTCAAACAACTGGGACAGTCCGGAGTGAGTTTCCGAACATGCATCCGCTCCAAAAGCCGCCCCAAAAGCGTGCGTACCCCAGATTCTCATAATTTTCCCTATTTAAGTGGCCATATTTTTTGGCAAATCCACCATTTCAGACCCATATAGATAGAAATGATCATTTTCCCTCGGTTTCCCTAGGGTTTCCCAAGGTCCAGCAACAAACTCATCATGAAAGCCCCATGCCAATCCCGTCAACCAAAGAAATCGCTCCTCCCATCGGGTGCGAGAAATTCCTTCGATGAAGCTTCCGGAACCTGAGGATGAGGACAACTTTGATATGCTCAACAGGGGCTATCTCAACAAATCAGCCGATAAAGTTGCGCATGTAATGTGTACATATATATATATATATGAATGATGATTATATCATATATTCATGGTATATTAAGGGGATTGAATGGGATATATAACCGATAACGTATGATAGATATTGGGATATGTATAACAGTTCTAATGGGATATGAATAAAATATGAATGGAATATGAACGGTGTTTATAGTGGAATTATAATGGGCTGCTTGATTAAACTGACCAATTTTATATCATAGTTGGGTTTGTCTGAAAATGTGGTATACCATCATATACCCCTGCCTGGCAATGTTTACAGGGAAACTAATCAAAAACCTTCAAATTTGGATGGTTCCGCATAAATGTTCAAACAAAC